CAATTCTCCTGTCCTCAGCTACCCAGAGTTGGATGGGACTACAGGCACCCATCACCACGCCCAGCTAATTTTTGTTATTTTTAGTAGAGACAAGGTTTCACCCCATGTTAGCCAGCGCTAGTCTTGAATCCTGGACCTCAGGTGATCTGCCCGTCTCAGCCTCTCAAAGTGCTGGGATTACAGGAATGAGCACTGCGCCCAGCCACGGAATTATCAAATTCATTAAGGGTAGTACACAAATTAAAACTTGCAGTTACAAGCTCAAGAGAAAGTGTTGAAATATAAAATTTAGTTATCACTGGTGATATGGGGTGGTATTAAAAGGCCATGGGGGACCAGGCGCAGTTGCTCATCTCTGTAAGCCCAGCACTATGGGAGGCTGAGGCAGGCAGATCACCTGAGGTCGGGAGTTCAAGACCAGCCTGGACCAACATAGAGAAACCTGTGTCTACTAAAAATACAAAATTAGCAGGCGTAGGTGGCACATGCCTGTAATCCCAGCTACTTGTGACGCTGAGGTAGGAGAATTGCTTGAACCCAGGAGGCAGGGTTGCGGTGAGCGAGATTGCGCCATTCCAACTGCAGCCTGGGCGGACAGAGCGAAATCCATCTTCCAGAAAAAAAAAAAAAAAAAACACCATAGGAGGCCAGGAGCCTGGCTCATGCCTATAATCTCTGCACTTTGGGAGGCTGAGGAGGGCGGATCACTTAAGATCAAGAGTTTAAGATCAGCCTGTTCAATATGGTAAAACGCCCTCTCTATCATAAAGTACAAAAATTTGCCATGCATGGTGGCACGCGCCTGTAGTCCCAGGTACTCAGGAGGCTGAGGTGGGAGAATCACATGAATCTGGGAGGTGGTGGTTGCAAGTGAGCCAAGATCACGCCACTGCACTCCAGCCTGGGCAACAGGGTGAGACTGTCTCAAAACAACAATAACAACAAAGCCAAGGGACACTAAGGAATTTGTAGAAAGAACAATGAATGCAGAAAACCACCATCTGTCAACGATAACTGCTTAAAGCAAGAATTATCAATGGATGCTAAAACTAACTGGCAAAAAAAGTGGTCCAAGTTAACATCAGCAGTAACAGGACAAATGACATCATGTGCCTCCTGGTATGATATACGGAGAACACACTCAAAGGAGAAGCAGGGAAGGCAACAGATAGTGAAAAAGCAATGTAAGTCAACAGATTGCTGAAACAGGTACCAGAGCAAGTGAATTAGAAGCACAAGAAGTAGTACTCTCAAAGAAAGAAACATTAAAAACACTAAAAACAATAAATGAGGCCATGCACAACAGCTCATTCCTATAATCCCAGAGCTTTAGGGGGTAGCGGCAGGAATACTGCTTGAACCCAGGAGTTTGAGACCAGCCTGGACAATATAGTGAGACCCTGTCTCTATAAAAAACATAAAAATTAGCTGGGCATGATGATGTGCGCCTACGGTTCCAGCTACACGGAAGGCTGAAGTTAGAGAATCACTTGGGCCAGGGGGTCAAGGTTGCAGTGAGCCATGAATGTGCCAATGCACTCCAGCCTGGTGACAAAGCAACACCCTGTCTCAAAAAAGAAAAAAAAAAAGATAGTAAATGAGAGGTGCAGTTTTTGACCCTAAGATCCATGACACTGCCACTGGTATAGGGGACTAAAGACAGATAGAAAGAAAGACTGCTGACCACCTGGTCAAGAAACAGACCAGAGCATTTGCTGGTTATCCTTGAGGATACTAAAGTCACCCAGAGAAGGGCAGGAGTGGAGAGAATGATAACACACCAAAGCCAAGGCTATGATGCACGCTGCGGCTACAGGAGTCAGCACAGAGAGGGGCTGCAGAGCTGGTGACAGCCTGAGAATGGTGGCCCCTGTACAAAACAAAATTCAGGTGCCAGGCGCGGCGACCACACCTGTAACCCCAGCACTTTGGGAGGCCAAGGCAGGTGGATCATCTGAGGTCAGGAGTTGGAGACCAGCCTGGCCAACATGGAGAAACTGTCCCTAGTAAAAACACAAAATTAGCCAGGTATAGTGGCACATGCCTATAATCCCAGCTACTTGGGAGGGTGAGGCAGGAGGATCACTTGAACCCGGGAGGCGGAGGTTGCGGTGAGCCGCGATCGCACCACTGCACTCCGGCCTGGGCAACAAGAGCAAAACTCTGTCTCAAAAAAAAAAAAGAAAAGAAAATTCAGGTGTCTGAAGGTGGCATGGGGAAACAAGGAGGACACCTAGCACAGCCTGGCCAGAGGAAGACAAGAGTGAGAGGGAAAACCACCAGGGATGGAGAAGGCTACAGGGGGAAACTAACAAGAGGAGTCACCTGGTTTCCTTCCAGACAAGGAAATCAAAGGAACTTGAGAGAAGAATGCTGTAAGGAAAGGGCCTGACATTTACAGAGCCTGAATGGAAAGTCTTGCAAATGGAGAGATGAGGATGTAAGTCAGATTTAGAGCATATCAACAACAGCATGGGATGAGGCTTGGTAGTATGGACGACCTGGGAGTCCTAACTATTGTGACTAAAATATTCCAGGGCATGACTATAAAACAGAAGAAGGAGGCACATTCCAATCTGGCTGTTTCTCTTCTTCTATGAAAAAAAAAAAAAAAGTTAGAACTACGCATCCATACGAGTACCGGATAAAGTGGTTCCTTCAAGAAATGCTGCCACTAGTCCAATACAATGCTCTAAATGCATTTGGAACTTCTATTTTATGACGGCTTTCAGAGTGAAGTACGAGACTAATAAAAAAAAATGTCTTTATAATACCCAAACTGTATTGCTCTGCTGGTTCAGTCACTATGTGAAGTAGTTTTGGCTCAAAAAAAGTTTGTTTTCATTACCTCCAAAGATCGAAATCAACAAAAATTAAGATGCAGCACCACTGAAGTAATTAAAAAACAATATGGGCCAGGCCCAGTGGCTCATGCCTGTAATCCCAGCACTTTAAGAGGCAAAGGCGAGTGAATCACGTGAGGTCAGGAGTTCAAGACCAGCCTGGCCAACATAGTGAATCCCCCTATCTACTAAAAATACATAAATCAGGTGTGCATGGCGGTGTGTGCCTGTGGTCTCAGCTACTTGGGAGGCTGAAGCATGAGAATCGCTTGAACCCGTTAGCGGAGGCTGCGGTGAGTCGAGATCACATCACTGCACTCTAGCCTGGAAGTGAGATTCTGTCTCAAAAAAAAAGAAAAAAAAAAAACACCAATATGGCATCGGTACTAAACACCTTGCAAAGAGGTTCTGCTGAGAAGAGGAGAATTCATTTGAGGCCCATGTACTTTTTTCTGAGAAAAGTTCAGTTATTCTTGTTGGGATAAACCTCCTTCCCTCCTTCATTCATTAATTCTACAGTCACCATGGGGGAAAAAAAGCAAAATTTATGTAAATAATTAAATTAAAATATTGACCTTGTACATACTTAATGCCACTGCAAAAAGCACAGTCTTCCTAAACACTTTTGGAGAAGCAAATGAAGAGGAAGGAAAACCAATTTGAAACGCTCTGATGTCCAGTACTCATGCACCCACTTGCATCAAATATTTGGTGATACAGAAAAGAAATCATGCTATGCAAGGGGATGTGAAATGAACAATACACAGTCCCTTCCTCAGGTGCTCCCCAGGCCATCACCCTAGCAAGTTAGCTATTATCAATCGTGCAGTCTCCGTACTTTCCTTCCCTCGTAAGAAACTAAGATACTGTCTCCAACTATTAAAAAAGCAACAGGGAGGCAGGGTGTGGTGGCTCACGCCTGTAATCCCAGCACGCTGGGAGGCCAAGGCAGGTGGATTGTTTGAGAACAGCAGTTTGGGACCAGCCTGGGCAACACGGCAAAATCCCATTTCTACAAAAAATATGAAAATCAGCCAGGCAGGCTGGCGCAAAGCTGTAGTCCCAGCAACACGGGAGGGTGAAGTGGGAGAATCACTTGAGCCCAGCAGGTCAAGGCTCCAGTGAGCTATCATTGCACCACTGCACTCAGCCTGGGCGACAGAGTGGGACCCTGTCTCAAAATAATTCTTGCCAGCAGAGGTGTTAAAAAAAACAAACATAAAAAATAAAATAAAAATAAATATGCACTAGCTGGCAAAGAGGGTTTTCATTACAGCATTACTGGAATACAGTATATTTGTGAAGTACACACCTCTTGTTACACTGAAAGAAAACAAGGCAGCATTTCCCACAGGTGGTGAGTTAGGCCACTATGTCACACCAGTGGTAGAATAAACTGCACTCAATAAAAACAGGAGTTTGAAGGGCCTTATCAGAGTTAAATGAAGTAGCATCTATTCTGTTCAGCTCATGGCTGATTTTTTTTTTCCCCCTAAAAGATCACAGTAGGCTGGGCGTGGTGGCTCACACTTGTAATCACAGCATTTTTGGAGGCTGAGGCGGGCAGATCACAAGGTCAGGAGATCGAGATCATCCTAGCTAACACGGTGAAACCCCGTCTCTACTGAAAATACAAAAAATTAGCCGGGCGTGGTGGCGGGTGCCTATAGTCCTAGCTACTCGGGAGGCTGAGGCAGGAGAATGGCGTGAACCTGGGAGGCGGACCATACAGTGAGCCTAGATCACGCCACAGAACTCCAGCCTGGGTGACACAGCAAGACTCCTTCTCAAAAAAAAAAAAAAAAAATCACAGTAAGCAAGTTTTTAAAAATTCTAAGGCTGCACATGGCTACACAAGTATGCTGGAACTCTGAGACTGTGTTTCAGCAGACACAAAATAATAATTCTCAACCAAGTCCAGACTTACTTCCTAAGGACATTGTGAAGGTTTATAAGCTCTAAAGATAGGTTACTCATAATCTTACCATTGCGAAAAACTTTATTAAAATCAAATCCCTGGCTTGCTAGAAAGTCAATGCTGGAGCTCTGAAACAGAGTAAACAGAACACATGTTTTGGGGATGTTAGTGGCAGGAATATAAAGAGATGCAGAGAAGTAACTCAAACAAGAAAACAAAGACAATAAGGCAAGGAAGCAATGTGCCAAAGGTCACAATACAAGGAATTTCTACTCCACAAACAATCTATTAACCGCTTAAAACATTTGGGCTTTTCTCCTTTGTAGCTTACAAAACAAACATCCTTTGTTTTACAATTCTTTTTTTTATAGACAGGGTCTCCCTATGTTGCCCAGGCTGGTCTCAAACTCCTGGACTCAAGCGACCCTCCTGCCTTGGCGTCCCAAAGTGCTGGGATTACAGACATGAGTCACCACACCCAGCCTGCTTCATAATATTTTTAAAATATCCATTGGGTAGACCGGCATAGTGGCTCACGCCTGTAATCCCAGCACTTTGGGAGGCAGAGGTGGGCACATCACTTGAGGTCAGAAGTTCGAGACCAGCCTGGTCAACATGGTGAAACCCTGTCTCTACTAAAAACACAAAAATTAGCCAGGTGTGGTGATGTGCACCTGCAATCCCAGTTACTCAGGAGGCTGAGGCTGAGGAGAACTGCTTGAGTCTGGGTGGAGGAGGTTGCAGTGAGCCGAGATCGAGCCACTGCACTCCAGCCCAGGTGACAGAGCAAGACTCTGTATATATATAAAAAAAAAAAAAAAAATCCACTGGGTGAACAGATATTCTCCCAATAGGCAGAAAGCTCCTGATCTCTTGACTGTTGTAGTACTGACTAGGAAACTGTAAATAGAACTAAAATGTATTTTATTACCCCATCCCAGGTTCAAGTTTAATGTAGCCTACATACACAGGTTATAAGACACTGACATCCACCTCAAATTAGATAATGAAGACCCAAAATCTTAATTAAATGTTCTCAATGATCAAGATCAAAAGGGAGGCCAGGCACCATGGCTCATACCTGCAAACCTAGCACTTAGGGAGGCCAAGGGAGGAAGATTGCTTAAGCCCAGGAGTTCAAGACCAGCTTGGGTAAAACAGTGAGATCCCATCTCCACAAAAAATTTAAAAATTAGCCAGGCATGGTAGCACATACCTGTAGTCCCGGCTACACAGGGGCTGAGGTAGGAGGATCACTTGAGTATGGGAGGTCAGGAGGTTGAGGCTGTAGTGGGCTACTACCATGCCACTGCACTCCAGCCTGAGTGACAAAGTGAGACCTTGTCTCAAAACAAAAAAGATCAAAAGAGAAGTTCCCAATAATAAGCCTTACTAAACAAATATATCTTGAACCTAGCATGAGCCCAAAATCAATGTTTCCAGATTCTAAATTAAAAACATTAGACTTGGGCTGGACTGGTGGCTTACACCTGTAATCCCCAGCCACTCTGGGAAGGCCTGAGGTGGTTAGATTCACCAGAAGCCCAGAAGTTTGTGTGACCAGTCCTGGGCAACATGGCAAGCAGTTCCCACCTCAATTCAAAAATAATAAAATAAAGTTATTTAAAAGTAAGTATATATAGGCTGGGTGCAGTAGCTCACACACTGTAAACCTCCCAGCACTTTGGGAAGATTGTGGCGAGATAGCTTGACCCAAGAGTACCGAGACCTAAGCCTGAGTAACATAGGGAGACACCGTCTCTACACAAAAATTTAAAAATTAGCCAGCGTTTGGTGGTTCCCCATCTGCAGTCCCAGCTATCCCACAGCGTGAGGTGGAGAATCAAGAAAGATCATTTTTTTTTGCAGCCCAGGATTTCAACGTTGCAGGAGCTGTGATCGCACCACTGGGACTCCCAGCGTGGGTGACGGAACAAGACTCTGCCTCTTAAAAAAACAACGAAAAACAGGTTTGAGTGTGTTGCTCATGCCTGTACATCCCAACACTTTGGGAGCCTGAGGTGGTTCAGAGGCCAAGGAGTTCAAGACCCAGCCTGACCAACATGGTAAAACCGCTGGTCCCTCTACTAAAAACAAAAACGAAAACAAAAACAAAACAACACTGGCCGGGCACAGTGGCTCGATGCCTGTAATCCCAGCACTTTGGGAGGCAAGGCAGGCGAATCACGAGGTCAGGGCAGATCAAGACATCCCTGGCTCAACACGGTGAAATCCCCATCTTACTAAAAAATCACACAAAAATTACGCCGGTGCGGGTGCGGCGCGTTTCAGTCCAGCTCACTCCGGGCCGAGCTGAGGCAGGAGAAATCGGTGTTCGACCCAAGAGGCAGAGGCTTCGCAGTGAGGCCGCGCAGATCCGGCACCACTGCTACTCCAGCCTGGGCTGATGGGGACTCCGTCTCGCAAAATAAAAAAAAACAACCTTCTGGAATCGTAACACAAACTTTTGCGGGTCGTTACTACCACATACTTTAGTTTGATCGTCAAATCTGTACACATTTTCAGATTGAAGAGTTGAAGCTGGGAAGCAGTCTCATGCCTGTAATTGCCAGCACTTCGGCGAGGCCAAGGCAGGCGGAATCCCACTTGAGGTCAGGAATTTGAGACGCCCCTGCACGCGCGCGCCCACTTGGTCAAACATGGTGAAACCCTGTCTCTACTAGACAAATACAAAATTAACCAGGCGTGGTGGCATGGCGCACCTGTAGACTCAGCAACCCACTTGGGAGGTGAAGCAGAGAATCACTAAGCAAGAGAATCACTCTGAAGCTCGGCAGGGCGAAGGTTTTTATAGTGAGCCAAGATCATGCCACTGCACTCTAGCCTGGGCAACAGAGTGAGACTCTGTCTCAAATAAAATGAAAAAATTCAGGACATGAGAATACGTATTTGGGAAGACAATTTGAGACACCCATCAAAACTTTAAATGCATATATCATATGTCTCAACAATGCCCCTTCTAGGAAATCTATAATACAAAAAAATTCTTACCTATACAAAAAGATATACTGCACACAGAAGTTGACTACAGAATTGCTGATAACCATTGGAAAGCCTCCAAATTTCAATTAAGTAACTGATTAAACAAATTATATGTATCCATACTATGAAATAAAAGACATTCTGCTGAGTGGCAAATGCGAGTTGCATAAAATGTGAATATTAGGATTCCACTTATATATATATACATATTTTTAAGACGGAGTCTCACTCTGTCATCCAGGCTGGAATGCAGTGGCGCGATCTCGGCTCAATGCAACCTCCACCCCCCGAGTTCATGCCATTCTCCTGCCTCAGCCTCCCGAGTAGCTTGGGACTGTCAACAGATGCTCGCCACCAGGTCCAGCTAATTTTTTTTGTATTTTTAGTAGAGACGGGGTTTCACCGTGTTAGCCAGGATGGTATCGATCTCCTGACCTTGTGATTCGCCAGCCTCGGCCTCCCAAAGTGCTGGGATTACAGGCGTGAGTTACCGCGCCCAGCCCATTTTTTAAAATGTAAGCCTGGCACAGTGGTACATGCTTGCAATCCCAGCACTTTGGGAAGCCAAAGTGGGCAGACTGCTTGAGCCCAGGAGTTTGAGACCGGCTAAGGCAACATGGTAAAACCTTGTCTCTACAAAAAATACAAAAATTAGCTGGGCATGGTGGCATGTGCCCGTAGTTCCAGCTACTCAGGAGGCTAAGGCAGGAAGATCACTTGAGCCAGCGAGGTCAAGGCTGCAGTGAGCCATGACTACACCACTGCACTCCAGCCTTGGTGACAGAGAGATTCTGTCTCATAAAAAAAAAAAAAAAAAGGCTAATAGGTATGTGTGTCTAGGTATATGTGTATATGTATACATGTACATAAAAGCTAGGAAAAAAGGAGTAAAACAGGAAGGAAGTGGCATGGGAAAAGTAAGAAGAGAAACACAGCCAAGCGCAGTGGCTAACACCCGTAATCCCAGCATTTTGGGAGGCCAAGGTGGGCAGATCACGAGGTCAAGAAATCGAGACCATCGTGGCCAACATGGTGAAACCCCGTCTCTTCTAAAAATATAAAAATCAGCTGGGCATGGTAGCACATGTCTATAGTCCCAGCTACTCAGAAGACTGAGGCAGGAGGATCGCTTGAACCCAGGAGGTGGAGGTTGCAGTGAGCCGAGATCACACCACTGCACTCCAGCCTGGCAACAGAGCAAAACTCCGTCTCAAAAACAAAGAGAAAAAAAAAAAAAAAAAGAAACACATCTGGGCAGGCGCGATGGCTCACGTCTGTAATCCTAGCACACTGGGAGGCCAGGGCGGGTGGATCACCTGAGGTCAGGAGTTCGAGACCAGCCTGACCAATATGGAGAAACCCCATCTCCACTAAAAATATAAAATTAGCCAGGATGGTGGTGCGTGCCTGTAGTAACAGCTACTCGGGAGGCTGACACAGGAGAATGGCGTGAACCCGGGAGGCGGAGCTTGCAGTGAGCTGAGATCCGGCCACTGCACTCCAGTCTGGGCGACAAAGCGAGACTCTGTCTCAACAAAACAAACAAACAAACAAAAATACAAAAATTATCCAGGCGTGGTGGCAGGTGCTTGTAGTCCCAGCTACTCTGGAGGTTTGAGACAAGAGAATTGGTTGAACCCAAGAGATGGAGGTTGTAGTGACCCGAGATCCGAGATTGCACCACTGCACTCCAGCCTGGGCGACAAAGGAAGACTCCATCTCAAAAACCAAAAAAAAAAAAAAGAAAAGAAAAAGAAAAGAAACACATCTCTTACTCTACATACAGCAGTTATATTTCAGTTTTTCACAACCATATATATAAAATACCTTCTATGAATTCAACTACAGATCTTTAGCCAGAAAAAGGAAGAGGAAGAAAAGAAAAAGAAGACAAAAATGATATAAACGTCCTGCTATCCTGACTGCCCTACTATTCTACAAATACACTCTTCTGGGTGTGAGTGTGGTTCTGTCAACCCATTCCTCCACATCTCGACAAGAATATGGGAGCATCTCACTGCGCACACAGGGTCCTATATTTTAAAAACATATTAAGTTGTTGCATCCTCAAATCCTATATGCTTTAAGGGTGATAAGAGCTTTCTGAGAGAGATTTTGACTCAATTTTCACCCTAATTACTAACTCCAGAACTGAATGCCTTTGTATGCAACTCTGCTACAACTATAGAATTGTAAATAAAACAAAAACCTTAAATGAAAGACCAAAGAAAATACAAAAATACATTTCCCTTTTCATACAATTCCCAAATTTACAGAGTCTAAACCTTTTCTCTGCCTTTGTTTTTCCAGACTAGAGAACCCCAGCACTTTTATTCGTCTGTTTTAGACATCACTCTCAGGTCTATCTTCAAGTCTATGACAGCTTTTATTAAAGGAATTGCTGGCAACTAGAACTGTATTAAGTATTCCAGGTGTACAATCACGGCTTGTACAATGGGTGAAGTTCCTCTGATCTGTTTCCAATACATTTCCCAAAATAACCAGATTTGTCTTAGTCATTTAAAACAGAGTGCCATTAGCCAGGCATGGTGGCTCATGCCTGTAATCCCAGCACTTTGGGAGGCCAAGGTGGGAGGATCACCTAAGGTCAGGAATTCGAGATCAGCCTGACCAACACGGAGAAACCTCATCTCTACTAAAAATATAAAATTAGTCAGCGTGATGGTGTATGCCTGTAATCCCAGCACTTTGGGAGGCCAACGTGGGAGGATCACCTGAGGTCGGGAGTTCGAAACCAGCCTGACCAATATGGAGAAACCCCATCTCCACTAAAAATATAAAATTAGCCAGGATGGTGGTGCGTGCCTGTAGTAACAGCTACTCGGGAGGCTGACACAGGAGAATCACTTAAACCTGGGAGGCGGAAGATGCAATGAGCTGAGATCATGCCATTGCACTCCAGCCTGGGCAACAAGAGCGAAACTCCGTCTCAAAAAAAAAAAAGAAAAAAAAAACAGAGTGCCATCCCTAAGGTGTCTCATTGCCACCCTCTGCTTTTGTTTGATTAACCCCTGGCCAAAGCCATGGAACCCACTTTAAGTAATTCTGTGTTGCTGGCACTACTAGAAAACTATATCCACACAAATTTCCCAACTGAGCCTACTTTTCCCTCAATGAAAATTTACCAAAAAAAAAAAAACAAAACCACACACACACACTATAAGGCCAGGTGCAGTGGCTCATGCCTGTAATCCCAGCACTTTGGGAGGCTGAGGCGGGCAGATCACCTGGGGTTGGGGGTTCGAGACCAGCCTAATTCAACATGGAGAAACCCCGTCTCTACTAAAAACACAAAATTAGCCAAGGATCTTGGTGCATGCCTGTAATCCCAGCTACTCGGGAAGCTGAGGCAGGAGAATCACTTCAACCCGGGAGGGAGAGGTTGTGGTGAGCCAAGATCATGCCACTGTACTCCAGCCTGGGCAAGAAGAGCAAAACTTCGTCTCAAAAAAAAAAAATGTACAAATACTCTTTAAGTATCCCATACCACAGTGATTGATAAATAGCTATTAACTGATTGCAGGGTAAAGGTAAAATGTCAGCTGGTTTACTTGCTAATTTAGGAAACTAACTGTAAGACCAAAATTAACCTTCACCTTTTCTCTTTTGCCCACAAGCATATGATTAATTCTCGATTTCATTTGTTTATATACTGCCAGTTTTGAGAAAGAATTTGACATAACTCAATCACTGTGAAGCCTACCCTCGAGGCTTTCATAACTGCATTACCATTAATCTGCAAGAGAAGGGAAAGATGGCAAGACTCAAATGAATTCATGTTGTTAGTGGGAGAGAAGATAGGATGCAAGATTTTAAATAAGAAAAGATTAAGACTTATTTTTAATCACATAGCCACACACCCATACCCCTTATTCACATTCTCCTTATCCATTACAACAGATAATCAAGAGAGCAGAAAGGAAAAAGTGTATTTACTGAGTGTCTACCAGGTCAACTACACCACCTCTAGAGGAAATATCCTAAAGGAGAACCACCCTAATATTGCCCCATCAATTAAGCTCTCTTCTCCTCAAGAGGAAACAGTAGCTTTTTTTCTACCCCGTTTCCTAATTAGTGAGCTTGAGAAAAGGAAGTGAGCATAAATAGTTTAACCCCTTCTGGGCTCTCTCTATTTGGATAGGATACACACATACTCTGCTTTTCCAGAAAATAAAGGTCGACACCCTTGGAGTGGATGCGAGGAGAATGAGTTAGAATAGCGAGAAGCCTCCCAGTCTTTTCTTTATTTTTATATTTATTTTAAAATAGAGATAAGGTCTCACTATTTTATGCCCAGGCTGGTCTCAAACTCCTGAGCTTAAGTGATTCTCCCAACTTAGCCTCCAAAACTGCTAGGATTACAAGTGTAAATTACCATGTCCAGCCAAGAAGCCTGTAAGTCTTGATGTGTAGGTGGTTCAACTTGGGGGTAAGATAATAAAAATCCCAAATGAGTTACGAAGCTATGTTCTCAAATTCGGCTTTAGAATTACTAAACCTCATGTTCTCATATCCATCTGCCTGTCTCTGCATCTTATTCCATAATTCATTCTTTTTTTTTTTTTTTTTTGAGACAGAGTCTCGCTCTGTTGCCCAGGCTGGAGTGCAACCTCTGCCTTCCCGGTTCACGTCATTCTCTTGCCTCAGCCTCCCCCAGTAGCTGGGATTACAGGCACCCCTGACCACACTCGGCTAATTTTTTTTTTTTGTATTTTCAGTACAGACGGGGTTTCACCATGTTAGCCAGCACGGTCTTGATCTCCTGACCTCATGATCCGCCCACCCCAACCTCCCAAAGTGCTAGGATTACAGGCATGAGTCGCCGCACCTGGCCCTCCTTAATTCATTCTACAGCAAAGGAGGAGATAACAGGGTCATTCTTTTATTACCCTAAAACTGAAGGTCAAAGGTGAAATGATTTGCCCCAAAGCCCAAAGTTAGTAGTAGAACCAAATTCTGATTCCACATCTTCATGCTGCCTCATCAGCAATTCAGAAAAGAAAAAACTCAATTATGCTACTTACTTGACAAACAAATTTGACATCTGGTGAAGATCTATTGAAGGGTTTCGGGAAAACATAGAAGTTAAATGACTTCGTTATATACCTGGGATAAGATAAAAGGAGACTTAGGAGGTGACACTGTGCCACAAAAACAGAATTCTCAACGTTTGTTAAAACAACTTACTTTGAATCTGTGTAGTCATACTTAAAAGTGCAAAGGCCAAACTGAAATAGCAAGAAGTCCATGGAATGCTGGAAAAGGGAAATAAAACATGTCACAATAGTGCTGCATATTTCATGTGAGCATAGCATTCTCAAACAGGTGGGCTTTCTGAATTACTCAACGAGACTTCAGCAGAATACTTCCAAGTAGAACAGATTACACATATGAATCAGAAGCATTACTAATTTGTATACATTTCATAATACTTTTCCCATTTAAGGACCTATTTATCCATCATCCAAAGAATCATATTAGGTCTATTTTCAAATGATTAAAATAACTGCCTCATATTTCCTAGGAATCAAATTAACACTGAAAATGCTAAATCTTCCCCAAAATGTTTTCCAGCAAACAATTATTTTTGCTGTTTTAAATATCATTAAAATAATACTTTAAGGCCAGGTGTGGTGGCTCACATCTGTAATCCCAGCACTGTGAGAGGCTGAGGCAGGAGGATCGTTTGTGGCCGGAAGTTCGAGACCAGACTGGTCAACAAAGTGAGACCGATCTCTACAAAAGAATATGTAAAAATTTAAAAAAAAAAACAAAAAAAACTAGCTGGGCACAGTGGCTTGCGCGTGTAGTCCCAATTACTTGGGAGGCTGTGGCAGGAGAATCACTTGAGCCAGGAGTTCAAGGCTCCACCGAGCAATGATCATGACACTGCACCCCAGCCTGGGTGACAAGAGTGAGACCTTGTCTCTAAAACAAGACAAAACAAAAAAAATCAATTCATGGCTAGGTTTGAGGAGAAAATATTGCACTTACAAAACCTTAATGTACAAGTTTAATAATATTTCTCTATCATTTAACATAAGGAAGACTAACATAAGAAAAAAGATTTTCTAACACATCCACTTGCCTTTTTAAGCTTCTGATACCTTTCTTCTGGAGTGTCAAAACCATTTGTTAATGCAGAGACTGAAGGTCCATCACTGATTCCTAGATTTTAAGAAATAAAAATGTTTAACTTACTAATAAATACTAACGTAAAAATGCCAGTCAACCATTCAGTGCCTCTATACTGTCATATCATGAATTAAGGTTACTTGGAAGCACTCCCTAACTTACTTTTTCAAAATAAGCATTAATTTTGCTGGCCACCAGGTTAAAACCTCTAATAATGAACTTAAGAGATGTGAATGTTTCAACTTGAGAATAGGCAGTTCCAGTGTCTAAAATGTGAGTTAAAACACAGTAATCATTTAAGAAAACAAACTCTATGCTTGAATAAATTTTGCTGCTTTAAAAGATTCTTGTATAAGCACACATCAATAAATCCCTAAGTACATTACTGCCAGAGTTCCAGTCTTGGTCAAGAGTTTGTAGTGGTTAATATCTATACAAAGAATGTATCTTCAAGGTAAAGGGAAAATTATTTCTGGTGAAAACTCTTAGCTTCCTAGGGAAGTGACTCCAACTAGAAACTGCTTAAAGCCAAGGATAATATTTACCCCTGCATGGATTCCTGCATGGAAAATCAGACAGCAAAAATGGATATCCATATTAAAGGGAGTGAACCGTTCATACTGACATCGACAATTTTAAAACTAGCCTTTGCTCCCCCTAAAAAAGGGAAAAAAAAAATTTGCAACTTTAAGTGTCAATGAAGTATTTCCTGCATACACATCTGCTGAGGCAGGCAATGAACACGTCCACTAATGCATAAAGAAATATCTCATTTATCTGCAAAAACCTGACCCTAGCCGGTCACAAAAGGGCAAATACTGTAAGATTCCACTTATATGATATGTCAAGGGCAGTCATATTCAGAGAAAAATGGCGGTTGCTAAAGGCTGGAGGAAGGGAGCAATGGCGAGTTTAAGGTGTAAAGAGTTGCAGTTTGTGAACATGAAGAAGTCCTAGAAATGGATGGGGATGTTTGCAAAGCAGTGTGAATGTGCTTCATGCCACTTAACTGTAAAGTCACTTAAAACGGCACATTCATGTTATATCAATTTTACCATCAAGAAAAAAAAAGTCTGACCCTAATCCTCAAGCTCTCCGCAATGTACATGCCGCACTGTTTTAAGCAGCACCAAAACCATCATCTCTATCTGCAATCCTGAGTGCAATCACAAACCCACGGCATTTCATTTCTTCCGTGCTTTTGAAATGTTTAAAAGGTAACATTGAGACCTGTGAAACCCGCCCAAGGCTACTAACAGCGAGAGGCCACCATCAAGCATAAGAAGTCTGGGGCTGGGGGACTGAAGGAGCCTCGGCTACGCACCGCAAGGCGGTAGCCTGAGCTTGCGAGGGAGGGATACCTGAAAACTCCCCATCGATGGCGAAGAAGTCGGCCTCCTCTATGGCCTGGTACACTTTGTGAAGATTACTCTTAAAATCTGCGGAGAAACCGAAAAGAGGCTCAGAACCAGTGGCCTGAATTCCTGCTAAGGGGAGAGAGAAGGAGGGCCGAGGATCTCCTGAGGCTGAGAGCCGGAAGGGAAAAAGTCTCGGAGGTGTGCACCGGGGCGAAGGTAATCAGGTCCTCGAGGGGTGCGTGGGCAGCGGGGACAAGCCCCGGGGGGTGCCCGGGCCGGAGAAGGACAAGGCCCCGAGTGGTGCCGGGATTGGAGAAGTACAAGGACCCTAGGATGCACGGTCCGCAGCGGGACAAGACCCCAAGAGGCGCACCGGCTTAAGGAGGGAAAAGCCCTGAGGGGCTGCCTCAGCCCCACGCCCAGCCAGATAGGCCGGCCATGGTTTCGGCCTAGCAGGCCAGGGATAACGGGGTGTGGGGAGGCGGGGAGGTGCACGGCGAACACGCACTGCTCCTGATTATCTCCATTCTGCAGAGTGGCCGGAACCCCGGCCCCACACGGGCCCGCGCTCGCCTCAGCGGTTCTACTCGCCGAATTCCGCGGCGACCACGGCAGTAGCTGAGGCAGCAGCAGCCGAGACGGCAGCCGCAACTTCCGGAAACAGCGCGCGCCTGCTGCGCTTGCGTCAGCGCCTACGTCGGCGGCGGGGGCGGGGCCAAGGCTGGGCTCCTTTCACTCCTGACAGGGACAGGGGAGGGGCGTGGCTATCGAAGTCCCCAAGGCGTGGCCTAATTTGTGCGGGCATTCACTTTAGTAGGAAAAATGTGCCTGTCTGGACATCCAGTCAACCAGGAAATACTTATTGGGGTTCTACGAAATGCTCGCCACTCTTGTAGGGGTGGAGATACAGTGATGAACAGGAAAACGTGCTCCCTGCCCCATTGTAACTTAAACTTGGGGTAAGGGGAAATTCAGGCAGGAGTCAAACTTGCCATTTGGTAACACATGAAAATCGCTATTAAAAAAAAGAGCCGGTGATAGAATAGAGAATAATGGGATATGGGCGCGGTGGCTCACGCCTGTCAGCCTAGCACTTTGGGAAGCCGAGGCGGGAGGCTCTGTTGAGCTCAAGAGTTCGAGACCAGCCTGGGCAGCATAGTGAGACCTGTCTCTTAAAAAAAAAAAAAAAAAAAAGGCCGGACCGGTGGCTTACGCCTGTAATCCCAGCACTCTGGGAGGTCAAGGCGGGTGAATCAGGAGGTCACGAGTTCGACACCAGCCTGGCCAACATAGTGAAACCCTGTCTCTCCTAAAATTACAAAAATTGGCCGAGCTTGGTGACTCACGCCTGTAATCCTAGCGCTTTGGGAGGCCGAGGCGGGCAGATTACCTGAGGTCAGGAGTTCAAGAGCAGCCTGGCCAAAATGGTGAAACCCCGTCTCTACTAAAAATACAAAAAATTAGCCGGGTGCAGTGGTGCACGCCTGTAATCCCAGCTACTCCGGAGGCTGAGGCGGGAGAATCGCTTGAACCCGGGAAATGGAGGTTGCTGTGAGCCAAGATCACGCCACTGCACTCCGGCTTGGGCGACAGAACGAGACTTCTTTTCAAAAAAAAAAAAATTAAACTAAATTAAAAGAATAATGGGGGTTGTTACTTAGGTGATCAGGGAAAGCAAAGCTGAGACTCTTAGTTACTGCATTAGCCTCTGGGAATACTATGTCGAGTGCAACACATGAGGGCCGGGACTAATGGAATTGTATGTTGGTTTAGAGTTGCTGTTCTCCAATGCCTAGCACTAGGCTGACACATAGTAGACGCTCAATAAGCATGGGTTGAATGAATACATTCAAGTTGGTCTTTCACAAAAGCCAACTATGAAAAAGTGGTTAGGACCGGGTGCGGTGGCTCACGCCTGTGATCCTGGCACTTTGGGAGGCCGAGGCAGGCGGATTGCTTGAGGCCAGGAGCTCGAGACCTCCCTGGGCAACACGGTGAAACCCCGTCTCTACTAAAACACAAAAAATTAGCCTGGCGTGGCGGCACACGCCTGTAGCCCCAGCTACTCGGGAGGCTGAGGCAGGAGAATTGCTTGAACCCGGGAGGCGGAGGTTGCAGTGAGCCATTGCACTCCAACCTGGGCGACAGAGCGAGACTCCGTCTCCAAAACAAACAAACAAACAAACAAAAAGAAAATTGATTAGAAGACCTATTTTCAAAATCTATCTCAGTCACTTATTAGTTCTGGAATGTATTAAACCATCCTAAACCTCAATATCCTGGGATTGTATTGGGGCTCAGTGGTGCTAATCAATGTGAACTGGGAAGTACCGTATTAATAACTCTGTATAAATCACTGTTTAATGGGGGCCTGGCGCCATGACTCACACCTGTAATCCCAGAGTTTTCAGGGGCTGAGGCAGGAGGATCACCTGAGCCCAGGTGTTCCAGACCAGCCTGGGAAACAGAGCGAGAACATGTCTCTATAAAAATAAAATGAAATTCTAAAATGAGCCAGGCGTGGTTGTGCACGTCAGTAGTCCCAACTATACAGGAGGCTGAGGTGGGAGAATCGCTTGAACCCAGGAGGCGGAGGGTGCAGTGAGCCGAGATCGTGCCACTGTACGTCAGTCTGGAGGGCGACAGAGCGAGACTCTGTCTCAAAAACAAATAACAACAACAAAACAAAACCAGATAATCAGCATAAATTCTAGACGCTGTGACCTAGACGCTGGGAAGGGGTGAAATGTGGTGATAAGAAAATCATTTCAAGCTGTACGAGGTGGCTCACGCCTGTAATCTCAGCACTTTGGAAGGCTGAGGCAGGAGGACCCCTTGAGGCCAGATGTTCAAGACCAGCCTGGAAAACATAGCAAGACCCCATCTCTACGAAAAAAAATATTGTAATAGAAATAAAAGTCATTTAATTCCGATTCTTAACACCGCAAATTGAACTTATAGTCCTGTGATTTTCTACACAAAATGTGAAGGCAAAAAAATAACTGTGGAGAGTACAGTGCGGTCTTGTAATATTATTTTAATTTCTAGGCAAAGCTTGTATCCTCCGGATACAAAAACAGCCGCCCAGGAGGAAAAGACACTGACACTCCCGGGTACTTGGTGGGTGAAGAGGAAGGGGCGGGAACGGCGATGTTACGCATGCGCCCACTTCTTCCAGCTGGGAGTGGCCGCTCTAGGCAGCGGGGAGGTCGCGGGGTTGAGGGAGGTTCTGAAAGGAGAGCGGCCTCTCCTCTATGGTCGCGGGTCCGGGGCACTCTCCCCGCAGTCCGTCTTGTTACTTCCGGTAGCGAAGCCACTACTTCTTCCTTTGCTCCCGCGGGCGTCCGGGCTGGGAATAATGGCTCGGTTGGCCCGGGACGAGTGGAATGGTAAGCCGCGACACGGCTGGGGTGTGCTGAGGGGGCAACCCGGGCTTGATTTCGGGGCGTGACGTGGAAACGGAGGGGGAATCCCTTCTGCAGAGCCTCCCCGGCCGGGTCACAGGAGGCGCGCGGGGCCTCTCCTCACGCAGACCCGAGTCCTGAGCATCCCCACTCCTGGCCGCGGGGTTCGGACCCCAGCTTGGCCAACCGCGCTATCCCTTCCCGAGAGCCCCACGTCCGCACAGCCGGTCCTTGGGCCTCGCCTGCGTCCTTTCGGGGGTCAGGGTCAGAGCCATTCGCTCCAGGGGCTCCCTAGGGCGGGAAGGAGGAGGTGTCGCTTCCAAAAACGTTGGAGGGGGACCTCGGGGCGTCTGCCCGCCAGGAGCGCTTGCCACACCCTGCAGCGGCCCGAGGTTCCTGATAATCGCCACGCTGAGTTTACGGTCTAATTGGCGAGGCATGTTATTGGCCCAAGGCGGAGCGATTGTGTGCATTCTTTAAGGTGACCGAAGCGCAGAAGGGAGAAAGTGAAATCCCAAAGTCACGCTGGGGCCAGGCAAGAACTCCGCTCTTCTGATTCTGCGACTTGCGGCTCGGAAATAATTTGTGCAAAAGAGAATTTTCTTTTTTTCGTTTTTGAGACGGAGTCTCGCTCTGTCGCCCAGGCCTGAGTGCAGTAGAGCGATCTCGGCTCACTGCAACCTCCGCCTCCCGGGTTCAAGCGATTCTCTTGCCTCAGCCTTCTGGGTAGCTGGGATTACGGGCGCGCGCAACCACGCCCGGCTGATTTTTGTATTTTTAGTAGAGACGGGGTTTCACCATGTTGGTCAGACAGGTCTCGAACTCCTGGCCTCAAGTGATCTGCCCGCCTCGGCCTCCCAAAGTGCCGAGATTACAGGCTTGAGCCACCGCGCCCGGCCGGGAATTTTCTTTTATTAAAAAAGCTGGCGGGAGGGGGCGACAAATGAGAGTCAGGTTGCGTCTAAACGGGGATCCTGTTAAGCCCTCAACTGTCGCCGTTGGGTCCTCCCCGCCGAGGCCCATTGGTCCGCCCTTTGCAAGGGGTGGTCTTGATGTCACGCTCCAAATCGCCAATAGGAAAGAGCTTTACTCTCTTCCCAGGGCACACCCCCGAGCCGGCACGGACTGCACGTGCTGATGGGATTGTTTTGTTTGTTCTTGTAGCTGCTGTTCTGTCAACATCCAGCGTGGGTGTATCCTGACAGATGTGCTCTGCTTTTCCCTGTATCCATCAACTTGATGGAAACATTGTATTTCTCCAGGGCAGTTTTGTTTGCTTTTTGGCTCCAGCGTTTGGCAGTGGCACTAAGTAGGTAGCCATCACTGAATGAATGCTGATGTTGATAATTCTGTTGATAATGCCCATCAGCCACAAAGTAAACTTTGAGTACCTATAGTTTGTCATCTAAACCTCACAACAGGGCGTGGCTCCGCAGCTCACACCTGTAATCCCAGCAGTTTGGGAGGCGAAAGTGGGAGTATCCCTTGAACCCAGGAGACCAGACCAACCTAGGCAACATAGGGAGACGACGCTGTCTCTTTTAAAAAAATTTTTTAAGTAAACCTCCCAACAGCCCTTCGAAATTGACATTATCCTAGACGGATCAGTGGGAAATAGGAAGTTTAGGAAGAATAAATTGGGACCCGATTTGGAACCCAGATCAGTGTCACTCCTAAGACCATACTGGTTCAACTCTACCAGCCTAAGGAAATTATAGTCCAGCAGATGAGAAAACATACCCAAATAAAAGTTATGCTAATACACAGAGACAAGAAAGATTAATTTGGGTGTTGGGGAGTTAGTCATTAAAGACTTTCAAGTGACAGTTGATTTGGGTCTTTTCAGTTGGATACTTTTGACCCAGCAATGTTGTGAAGCTGTGTTACAGATGAAGGGAACAATGTGAGGATAAGGAAAAATGTCCAAGGCTGGGCACGGTAGCTCACGCCTGTAATCCCTGCACTTTGGGAGGCCAGGGCGGGCAGATTACTTGAGCTCAGGTGTTCAAGATCAGTTTGGGATACATGGTGAAACCCCATCTCTACTAAAAATACAAAAATTAGCTCAGCGTGGTGGCGGGCGCCTGTAATTCCAGCTACTCGGGAGGCTGAGACACAAGAATCGTGTGAACCCAGGAGGCAAATGTTGCAGTGAGCCGAGATCATGCCACTGCACTCCAGCCTGGGCGACAGAGTGAGACTCAGTCTCAAAAAAATAAAATAAAAGATTGAAAACAAACAAAACCCAATAGTTAAGGTGTGGGTAACTTGGT